GGGGATTGGGCAGATGTGCAGGTGTAAAATCATAGGAAGAGTAGTGATGAATAAGGATGTCCATACCAGTCTAAGTCCATTGGTGCTAATTCTAGTATTTTTGACACGATCACAATCTTCTGCTCTATTTTAAGTTATTGCTTGCATTTTTTCCATTTGTGTTTGGGCTGGATTACACACATCTCAGCTAGTTCACTCCGTAGTCTGTCCAGCCTACAAACATAGGTTTCCAAGGTAATCCACCCCATCAAGATTGGAGCAGACGGGCTCGACCAAGTTTTATCGAACTTGTGATCTCCTGGTTGTTACTCCTCCTACGAGCTATCCCCTTTCGACACATTTTCTTGTATTATATGTTCTTGTTAGTTTTTTTTTGCGTGAAATGCTGTGATAAACACTTCGTTAGTTGGCATTTTGAAAAGGTGTTCTTTATTAATGCTGTCAATGTGCTCTGAGCTAACTCTCTTGTTTTGCACTGCCTGCCATTTCTATGGACTCTAAGTTCTTGCTCATATCCATTTTCATTTACATATTCCATCTTATTTCTACTCCTTTTCCTGAGTTTTTGTGTCACGACATGATCAATTTTTAGGCCACTCATTAGATGCATTTTTTATCTAACTTTGCAGATCTGAGGACTGGTGCTGTGAGTACAGCTGCAGGATCAGCATATGCAGAGTTTGGAAACACCAAGGTCATCGTATCTGTGTGAGTGTGTGATCTATCTACAGTTTTTTTTTGAAACTTGAGAGCAGGTGAAAGAATCAATCTCTGGTGGAAATTCGCAGGAGATGTGCTTTTTATTGTTTTCCTCACTTTTGTAGCAAACACCTTTATTCTGTCCCTAGTTGGGCAGAACAACTTAGGAAAATGAGAAAAGATGAAACATTCTATCTTCTCTCTTACCAGTGAAGGGCCAACAAAGACTTGGTATAGAAGCACAATTTGGAGAAATTGTAATTATGTATTATCCTTTTCCCTCTTTATTTGCTTCCCGCCTATATTTCGTAGCACCTAATTTCGTTACTGCCTCCAACCTTCCACTTTCTCTTCATTGTTTGTCACCGTTTTCCCATTTTCTGAATAAAGTTCCACCGTGCATTGATCATCAAATTGACCTCTAGACTGGTTTTCAAGGTGTGAATGCTAGATCATGTATATCGCACCAAAAAGCCAAGAACCAAAGACATTTAGATTTTAGCATCTGTATGGAAAAAACTTTCCCTTCAAAACACCTGGAGTTTCTTTCAGCCCACAAAACCCAAAATATACGACTTGGGACAGTAATCCACAGACTTCATGCTGATTTTGTGATGCCACAACTGTCCCAAACAGTCAACAGGTCTTTCACAGTGAAAGGCATGTCAAAAAACAAGTTGAAAGTTTTTAAAAACAAATTCTATAATTGCCTTGCCGCTGTACAGTGTAAAAAGAGAGAACTGCTGGACTCTTCCTCCTTCTTGCACAAGTAGCATCTACTGCAAATGTTCATTCCCCTTCTTTGTTAATTGCCTTAAGTCAAACATGCATCATGAGCTAGCAGCCACATAAAGCGGACTACCTTTTGAGCAGTTTTAGTTTTCCATAACATCTTCCAAGGCCAATTGAGAGTACTATCCAGCCCCTTGTTTATGTCACTGTAGCAAGCCTACTGAAAAAACACTATTTTGTTGACTCAACCAGATTAGTTGGTCAGGTTCATCTAAGTCATCTTGTCCAGATCTTGTAGCAAGACAGCCAATCTTGGACTTCCCAATCAAGGCATAGTCTTCTCAAGTTAACACGTCAGTTGTTTCAATTCCAACATTGGGATACAAGGTATTCTATATTAGTGGAAATACTGTAAAGATCATTATATGCCGATCTAAGTGGAGTATGGCCAATCCCTGCGTCCTGTCAGAATCTTGTCCTATCATCTACACTTTAATTCTCATTTTAGTTTCAAGCAAAGCCTGGAAAGGCCATAAGCTGAAACTGTGTTGCCGAAGGCCCAAGCCATGTGCAGGAGTTGTCCTGGATTGTAAAATGACTATCTATTGTAGAACTGTTGGCCATAATTTTCCTGGATTATAGAACTACTATCTATTGTAGAACTGTCCGCCATAAATGATAAAACTACTAAACCACTGGCAGTGTTAGTATTTATGAGGTGTAGGAATGTATGGATGCCAATGACGACGGTAGCTTCAACTAAATAGAAGTTGAGAAAACAAATACTTGCATATAAAACTACAATGACATATGCATATTTATGGTTGTTATCAGATAGACATACAAATACAACTGAAGACACACTATCACATGTATTATCTTGGTTTTACGAGCCATATGCACATGACCAAAATTGTTACCATTCAGAGAGGTGTATAACATACATGAGTTGGATAATGTAGAGTGGTGGATCTAATAACAAAATGCTTGAACTAGCCTTTGGAGGAACTAAGGATGACGATCTTTGGCAGCTTGATACAAAAGTTTGAGAGAAGATTGAAGGGATGGAAAGAGCTACATCTTTCAGGAGAGAATTACTGTGATATAATCAACAATGTCAACCATTCCTATTCTTTTGCTGTCTGCGTTCCCTATCCCCACTTAAATTAGCAAAAAGAAAGTTGTTCATTGGTCGGCAGTGAGACTCAAATATAAGACCTTTATCTGCTCTATTACCTTGTTGGATTGTGTATACCAGCTCATTTACAAGTTAAACTGTTACAAATGGGCATTCAATTTTTATTGTGTCACAAGTTAAAGTCCCAGCATGTATAGATGGTTAGACTTCTGGCTGGCTGATGCACACTTGTATTCGTAAGAATAAAACTGCTGATGTACAGGGAATAAACTATATAAATTGCCTTTTCATTTAAAAGATTTTGGACTAGTCTAAATTACCCATAGCATGGGTAAATATAGTTCGGTAAAATTGATGATAAAATATTAAACTTGGAGGATTGGGTATCCTAAATTAGTGATGAATTTAGCCTAAATGAGGCAATTAACACGAGATCGGTGTTGATGTGGTTATAGATTGGTTGAAGAGAGNAAAAAAATCCTGCTTTTCGTGTATGTATAGTCAGCGGAAGCTCACAGTGTAGACTTTTATCTTCCAGTATGGAGGGAAAGAAAAAGAACTAAACATAAATGTGAGAGTTTGCTGTCAACATTAGTCAACAATTTGCTGTTAATGTTGTCCTATTGTATGGCAATTCATCTAGGAAGGGTGTTATTTGCATTGCTGTATATGTTTTACCAATTTTGTTAGGTGGAAAATGTCTAACCATCTAATTGTCTTCTTTTTTAGGTTTGGGCCAAGGGAAAGTAAGAAGGCAATGATGTACAGTGATACAGGACGCTTAAATTGTAACATTAGTTACACAACTTTTGCCACCCCTGATCATGGACAGGTATATCAAGGATGGAACAGAGTTCCCCTTTTATCATTCCATCTCCTTGTCATTGATGCTCTGTGATTAACTTCCATGTCTTTAACTGAAGTTTCACTTATGTTAGGGATCAGACAACAAGGAGCTTTCCTCAAAGCTACATAAAGCTTTAGAGGGTGCTATAATTCTGGAATCCTTCCCAAAGACTACTGTGGATGTTTTTGCTTTGGTATTGGAATCTGGTGGAAGTAAGTTTTGAATCCTAGCTTTATCTTTACATTTGTGGTTTATTCGCAATCCTCTATAGTACAGGTATTGACTTGAAACTGGGAGAAGATTATTCTTGAATATCTCAAGAAATGAAAAAAAGGACCTTGTATGATAAAAGATTAGAGGAAGGAGCACGGAAAATTGTTAACTCTGTTTTTGTTCATGCATCAAAGAAGTACTTGTAGGGTTGCAAAGGGGTATAACTTCTATCCTAATCAACTAGTTTTTTGTCAGAATCAGTACTTCTACTTACTGAAGAATGGTTACCTTTTTCAGAATTAGTACCTTTTCTTAGGCCAAGAGGTTAGAGCAAGATCCTGAATTTTACCGGTCTTATGATATGTGTCAATATTTAGGGTAGATAAAAGAATTAAGTTAGTTGGATCAGATTGTGATCTCAGTTTGCTATACTGTATATTTTGCCTTCTGGTAAGTATACTTGTATTTGGCTTCCAATTTTGTGCATTTTCCATAAATAGGCTATTGGTATTAGATTGGCGTTGTGAGATTACTTCCGAGTACTGATGACTTTTGAACTAACTTAATAAATGCTTTGCCATTACAAACTGTTTTGCTTGCAGGTGATCTCCCTGTGGTCATATCATGTGCTAGTCTAGCTTTAGCAGATGCAGGAATTTTGCTGCATGACTTGGTTGCCTCAGTTTCTGTGGTACGCATCAGACTATTGCTCGTTAGTTCTTTATTATCTGAGTTTACTTGGGAGGAATAGAAGCTCAGGTGGTTGCTGTTGTTTTCATTTAATCGCAGTAGAAACTCCACTTCTGATATGATAAAAAAAATACATTTCCTCGCCTTAAGCTACAAGCTCATCCTTACTTGGTATGCTCCCAAATAGATTTTGACTAATCCTTTGAAATATGTATTTGTGCAGCCTTAGGAAATTGTTGAGGAATAGTTCAAAGTGTAAAAGTTTTGGTGTATACCATATCGTGTCTAGTGTTCGCTATATTCCAAATTGAATGGTAGGTCTCTTTTGGTGCCATACCTAGTTCATGTCCAACTATTTTTTTGAGGAAGGTAACGTTGTACTATATATCAGCTCAAAGACTGTTAGGGTAGCCATATTTTTACAGAATCCAAAAAAGCAAAAGTATGTTCATCATCTTACACGTAGGGGTGTTTATGGATCGGTTTGGTTCAGTTTTAACCAAAACCAAGATCAAACCAATCATATCCATTTGGTGGTTGGTTCAGTTTTTGCTATTTCATTTTTTTTCCAGTTTTTGTCATATAAAATATAAACTCAATCTCTCTTTGCTATAGAATTCTGACAAGTCAATTATGTTTAGTAAGAATTGAACAAATTTATAATCATATGATCTATTAAAACATCTTCATTGGAGAAATGTTTTCGTATCACATGATAATTATTTTTTTAATCTAACAATTGTCTTTTATTTATATGTTCTTTCGAGCTTAAAATTTTAATAATTAAACTCAAAGATCAGTATGAACCCTAAATAATGATATGCTCTCATTTAATTTTAAAAATTACAATAAAACACTATCTCAAAATTGAGAAAGACATAAGAGTTTAATAGATATTGACTAGTGAATATTGAAAAATAAAGAGATTGAAGCATTTCAACCCACTTGATAAAAGAAGGATCATACACACTGGAATCAAGCATTATTTAAAGTAAATAAAATTGCTGCTCTATAATAGTTTCTGGATTACGTATTAACTCGAACAAGAGCTTTATCTATCCAGTTAATGTAGTAATGGAGATTCATAGCTTGGTGGATATTTTGGGAGGGAAAGTAGGAGCTCTACCAACAGTTTACCTGGGAATGCCACTTGGGGCTAAAAGCAAGTCTAAAGGAATTTGGAATGGTGTAATTGAGAAGTGTGAAAAGAAGTTAGTCAGCTGGAAAAGCCAGTATTTATCACTGGGAGGGAGACTTACACTAGTCAACAGTTTTCTGGATGCTATGCCAACTTATATGATGTCCCTTTTCCCTATGCCTGTAACTGTAGCAAAAAGACTTGATACATTGAGAAGAAACTTCCTATGGCAAGGAGCCAGTGAAAAGAGCAAGATTCACCTAGTCAGATGGGATACTCTCACAACAAGCAAAAAAGAAGGGGATATGGGGATTAGGAATCTGAAGATCCAAAACCAGAGCCTGATGATGAAGTGGCTATGGAGGTTTGCCACAACAGAACAATCCTTGTGGAAAAATGTGATAGAAGTAAGGTATGGAAAGGAAGGCAGCTGGTCAACCAAAACTGTGAACAATCCCTATGGGGTTAGCCTGTGGAGATTTATCAGAAATCAATGGCCAAAATTCTGCAATAAGTGTAGGCTTAAAGTAGGCAATGGAATGAAGATTTCTTAATGGGAAGACAAATGGTTAGGACAAAGAACCCTGAAGTAGCTATTCCCAGACATCTACAACCTCAATCAACAGCAAGCTTCACATGTGGGAGAGTTATGGACAGGCCAAGGGTGGAACCTCACCTTCAGAAGGCTCCTGAATGATTGGGAAATTCAAAGGATGACAGAATTTTATAACACTTTAGAACATTTCAAAGGGACATCTAACTCTGAGGAGAGGGTAATCTGGCAAGGAGGAAAAGAGGGCAAGTACTCTGTTAAATCTGCCTACAAGATATTTAACCAGTCTAACAACCAGTATGAGTGGTGGCCATGGAAGATGATCTGGAAAGTAAGAATTCCCTACAAAGTTGCATGTTTTACTTGGTTATTAGCAAGAGAAGCAGTATTGACACGATAATCTCACTAAGAGAGGTTATCAGCTGGGTTCCAGATGCCACCTATGTGAAGCTCAGGAGGAGACAGTCAACCATCTTTTTTTGCACTGTAGTGTCACTGATCAACTGTGGAAGATTTTCATCAACTTGAGGGGGATCCGATGGGTGATGCCAAGGAGAATCAAGGAAGTCCTAACCAGTTGGAAAAGAGATGGGTAACAATCCAGTTAGAAGGAGAGATGGAAGATTGTCCCGGCTTGCATATGGTGGACAGTATGGAAAGAAAGGAATCTGAGATGCTTCGAGGACATTCATAGCTCAATTCAAAAACTAAAGATGAGCTGTCTAATGCTCTTTTATTTTTGGTGTAAACAGGAATGTCTAGAAGAGAATGAGTTAATTTTTGATGTTTTAGACCAGCTGTGAGTCTAATAGAATTTTAGGTCTCTCTTCTGGCTACCCCATTGTAACTATCAGAAGGTTACACTTTTAGTGTAACCATTTACTTATTCAATACAAATATATTACCATTTCAAAAAAAAAATAGTTCTATTAACTGGGCGAGATAGCCTAGCGGTGAAGGGTGTACAGAATGTCTCATTGAACTAGAGTTCGAGTCTTGCTGCATGCGTTTTTGCCTTCGTTGAGCCGAGAGTCTATTGGAAGCATCTTCTCTACCCCCACAAGGGTAGGGCTAAGGTCTGCGTATACACTACCCTCCCCATACCCCACTATGTAGGATTGCATTGGGTATGTTGTTGTTTGTAGTTGTTGATCTCATGAGTAGATCACAAATATTTCTTAAAGAAAACCCTATATAAAGTTCTTAAAATATATATAAAATAGATATATTTATATGTCGGTTTGGTTCGGGTTTTCCTTGCTCAATAACGAATCAAACCAAACCAATTATGTTCGATTTTTTTAATCGATTTGGTTTTTTTCCATTTGATTCGGTTTGGCCAAGCCAATAGTCATTCCAAAAAGACACTCTTCTGCCGTTGCCAATGTTGAATCCATTTTTCGTAACAAAACTGGGCCACTGTGATCTGACAGTTCTCCAAGTGCTTACCCCATAAGAAGATTTCACTGTTTTACTAACACCAGTGACCCTCTTGACCATATTTGTTATTGATTACTTGGCTCCATAAAGCTTGTTCTTCAACATTGTATCTCCATAACCATTTCATGAATAGACTCTTATTATGTATCCTTGTGTTCCTGATGCCAAGACCTCCTTCTTGTCCAATTCCTAATGGAATACTTTATCCCCTAATTTGTAAGTCAATGTTTAATGGGTCGTACTTCACAGTTCCCAGTATCTGTATAAAAAAGATCTATCAACATACATTTGGGGCTCACTCGTCTTAAGATAGTCATGTTAGTAAACTATTTAAAGGCGGTGTTTTTCTTTTAAGATTTCAGTAAGTTTGAGCTATGCCTTTCAATTTGAAGGGAGGGGGGGGGGGGGATTACGCAGCGACTACCATCTTCTGGGGAAGTGAAGAAAGTGTACGAACCCTGTAACATTCAGTCTGTATTTAGCAATTGATCTCTTGCTTTGAATCCATTATATTTTTACTTTTCGTTTTTTGAGGGAGAAAAGGGGGGGGGGGGGGGTTTCGTGCCGTGCTTACGGCGAAAGGAGGAGGTACTGATTGGGATCAACTTGAAAACACAGGTTATGATTATGTATGCTGTGTGGACTGTGGTTATTCCTTATGAACAACACGTCAATAGGAGTAGAAAATTACGCGAGTATAATACTCCACCTGAAGTATTGATGAATGTTGCCGAGATTATCCAAAATTTCTCACATCTGGTTTTTTCATGGTAAAGCCTGGATTTGATAACTCTTTCAGATGTGTTTCCTTTTAACTGGCCCTGAGCATATAGAGGAGATTGGCAGTGCATTCAAAGAAAACATGAGAAATAATCAGTTACCTGCCCAATTACTCTGTTTTGAGCTCTTCTGGTCCTTAGAGACGGCAATGGGGCAGGGCAAAAGTAGGGCAGGGAAGGGTAGAGCCATAACAGGGCACGGCAGGGCAGGGCGGGTCAAAGTATATTTTTAGAAAATTATAAATGGGGCAGGGCAGGTGGCAGGGCAAGAGTTTTGGCTGCAAAATTGATAAAAAATAAACTGAAACTTTTTCATTTTTCAATACAGTGTGCTGCCTATAGATTTTGTATACCTCCTTAGTTATGAATTTAATGTGTAATAATTTATAGCATTATTTATGAATTACTCCTATAATTCATAGTTTACACTGTCGTTAGAATGCAGTGTTTTCACTGGGAACATGCAAATGGATTGCGTATTGGTGGAAGTATCACTAACTTGCTAATTTGTTATTTTCTATTTTTCTTTTTTACTTTATTATTTATATTTAGTTTAATAAGCTTAAATGTTTTACTGATACATCAAATAAAGTCCATAGAGCAGACAATCTGATTTCTCTTTAGTAAGATATTTGGTCCTTCCAACTCCAAACTTTCATGAGCATTTATTGAGTCAAACATGATATTATGTTGGTTTGGTTATTATTATTATTTACACACTCTAATTTCATTTTCAAGTACTTGTAAAATATTGCCAAACAAATATACATCTTATGAAGTACAGGCTTTAGTTTCCCCAGATACTATAATTTGTTTGTTTATTAGAGTTTCCTTTCATTTAACAAGTTTTAGATTTTACAGGTTATTAAATTTCATTGACTTAGTTTGCTTTTACTTTTGCTCGAATCGAAATTAGAATCAGACCCGTTCAAATAAGTAAGAACATGAGAACTTAAAAAATGAAGGAAAAAAATATAAGCTAAACAGGGCGGGGCGGGGAAGGGCTAAATGGGGCGGGGCAGGGCAGGTTAAAAAAAGAAAAGTTGTTAAACGGGGCAGGGCAGGGCAGGGCAGGTCAAATATGTGTCAGGGCAAAGCTTCACCCGCCCTACTCCGCCCCGCCCCACCCTATTTGCCATCCCTACTGGTCCTGGAACCTTCTACTGATATGGTGACAGGTTCTGACCAGGTTGAGGCTGATGACTAGTGTTGTGCTTCCATAGCACCTTCATCAGTTGAAATTGCATGTAGTTGTGTTATAAGCTCCATATGCATTTTTCATCTGTCCAAATGTGTTTTCACTCAAATGTAATCCATTGCAGTTAGGGGTGGTAAACCGAATTGCCAGGAGAGCATGATCCAAACACACTTGTTTTTGAATCGATTCCTGCTTTTTTTAGTAGTTAGTTGAATGGAGTAAATGCGCACTAAAACAATGTCTAGGCAACTGCCACACTATGGCGATTGAAGAACTTCAGTTATATAATCATCTTTTGGGCTGACAGCTCAAAAATGCATCCTCTGAAGTGTCTGCAAAATTTCATTATCTATACAAGAGTTTCCTATTTTGAAGGGTGAAGAGAATGAATGAGATGGAACAACTTGTGAGTTGTGAGTCAAGATTTGGATAAAGATGCACACGGCTTTCTAAAGTATGTAGTACCAGCAACTGGGAGAGTGAATGCACCTTCTAAGAAATGCCGTAGCAGTTGCACTTCCAGAATATGAGTCAACTTAGATCCAGCTGTTAGCTTTTCCTGTATCCCATTGGAAATGCACTCTTAACTCGTGTCTTTGCCTTGTGACCATAAGTCGGCAATAATGACAATGATTTCATGTTGTTCTTAGTCGAAGTTTACCTATAAGTATAAGTAAGTATATTTGTATAGGAATTTGGTAATAAGTATTTGTCAGCTAATCATCATCGAGGCTAGAAGAAACATTGTTATCGGCAGGTCAAGCTAGTTTTAAAGCACTTGAAGAATTTGGTTATTGAAGCCTGAATTAGACTCGGTTATGGTTCACTAATGGAACGAAGGTTTAGAAGCCTTTATGGATGTGTACTCTTAAGGCATAATATCATGCCATCTTTATTACAAATAGCATGGCAACTTTCAAATGTTGGGACATGTAATGATATGATACCATAGGCTTTTCCAGATTCTCAAATATTCAGGGTCTCCACTGAATTTTCAGACATCTAATTCACTTCTTTTTTTGGTATTCTAGTCTTGTCTTGGAAAGAACCTCGTCATTGATCCCGTTTCTGAGGAAGAAAGCTACCAAGATGGAAGCTTAATGATTACTTGTATGCCTTCACGTAATGAGGTCACTCAACTGTCTATAACTGGAGAATGGTCAACACCAAAGACTAATGAGGTATGCTGTTTGCTGGGCAGTTTCATCTAGATTACTAAATTACGTCCTGCTACGTCTCTCGTTTTGTTTAATATTTTCATATACAGACTAGAGATTGCACTTCACATTTGTCTCTTAGCTATCTGTTCTTCTTAACTGTAAATTTCCCAGTGAGCTACTTAAATTATTTTCAAAAGGTTCACCGATATGATCCTGACACATTTTTGGAGCTAGGCATAACTATTATTTTGATCTTTTAAATGCAGGCAATGGAGCTATGCCTTGGTGCTTGTTCTAAACTATGTGAGGTTATGAGATCATGTTTGAAAGATGCTGTTACTGATTCAAAAGAATAGACCATGGTACATGTGTAGGTCAAAATTACAGAATTAGATATTAGTTTGCTCCTATCAGGCCGGTAAATTTGCAATTCCCGATTAAAGTTTTCCACACTGCCTGATTTTTTCCTGTGAATTCTGTCAATCAAAGGTTTTGGTTCGCTAATTAGGTTCTCCGTTAGAATGTTTGATTGCAATGAAGCATTGTTTAGATATATTGGCAAGAATATTGAAATGAAGGATCCTTTACTCTCTGGCAGTCAAAATATCCATAATCACAAGACGGCTTCTCAAGACTGCATGCATATCTCCAGCTCGCTTCTTGCCTCTCAATTGATAGAAGATACCAGCAAGCTCCCAGTACTTTCATTTGCGAAAAGCAAAATGGCTGCTTATATGTTTAATTTTTTATGGAGGGAGGATTTCAGTTTCATAAACAAACCAATTTTCATAAGACATGAGCTGGTGAGGGTGGGCCAAGGTGAATGACTGGTAGACTTATAGGCTGGGAAGTTTTTGAAAATGGGGCGCATATAATACCATAGGCAAATCCCATGTTGGAAAGGGGAGAGAAAGTGAAATGCTATATAAGACAGCACAATTTCACATGATGTGCCGGCTTGATGTGGCATAGCCAATAATTTGTGAGGTTTGTTGGCCAAAACAGACAATATGTACCATGGTCTTGGACTGTGAGAAAGATTAACACTGATTTTTGCATTTGTGTACTTCAATAGGGAAATGAACTTCATATGTACTAGAAAATATCTAGTGCAGTACAGCAGTATTTTAGCATTAGATGAATCATCTACCGAACAGAAGCTCAGAATTCACTTACATGGCTTGCTAACATGTAGAGCATCAGGTTGTAAGCAGCTCCAGCCCTTGCTGTTTCTGTCACAACACCATTTGATGATTTGGGATGACAATGGAAATATGAGATAAAGTCTAGGGAGGTAGTAAAAGATGATACTGAATCGTCCCTTAAATTAGGGACAACAGCCCAAAGTAATGCCTGAAAACGTGATAAAGCAATATATTACTTTCAAACAAGTTCGATTTCATTCGACTAAGGATAATAACAATCAAGGAACGATTGATACTCGAGAAGATTGAGAGACATATGCAGTTCTAAATAGAAAAAAAATCTGAATCATGTAAAAGACATTAGCTATTGTTCCATCTATGAATTATAGGTCCTCAGGAATTTTCTACCCCTGTTATCCTTCTTATCACTCTTTCTACTGGCTGGCTCTGGTTGTCTTATTCCATCAATCTTATACTTCACCTTAATCACATTATCTCCATTAGTTGTTGCATACTTTGTTGCTTCAAGATCATGTTGAAATCTGAAGTTATGTCAAAACGGATATTTAGTAAAATAACTTAAGACCATGTCATATATAGTTTGATCAATTTGCTGGTACGAAATGAACATAAGAGCTAGAAAATGAAAAATACATGTTTTTTGGTGAACGATGGAAAATATTTTTCAGAAATTTTTTCCAGAAAATAAAATATTAAGTCATTTTCTGGTGTTTATTGAAGAAACTTTTTTTAGGAAAAACATTTTCTACCAAAAGAGGAAAAATGACTTCCTTCACTTTTTGAACGGAATTCACTTTTCGTCACAATTATCTCAACTCTGTACTTCATATGTGTTTTAACCAATATTAGACATATTAATACTTAAAAGTTTCATCAAAACACTATCTGGGTTTGTTTATTATAAATCCTCTATAAATATATTTTTCCAAAAAGTATTTTGCACTCTCCAACCGCACACCAGAAAACGTTTTCCAAAAAAATATTTTCTTCCATTATGTCAAACACATAGATATTAAGGGTGTGTTTGGTATGAAGGAAAACATTTTCCAATTTTCCCATGTTTGGTTGGCTTAAATGTTTTGGAAAATATTTTCCTCCAATTTGGAGGAAAATGTTTTCCTTATCAAGAGAAAGGAAAACATTTTCCAAAACTCTTTCTCAACCTTCCCTACCCTCACCAACCCACCCCCTCACTCCAAAAAAGTTTTTTTTTTTAATTTTTTTTTTTATCAAATTTCAGTTTTTACGTTACCACCCAACCTACTACCCCTCTACCCCACCCCACTCCCACCCCCACCCCCTCCCGCACAAAAATATTATTTCTTTTACCTTATTTTTTTTGTTGCAATTTCAAACTTCTGTTTTTCGTTTTTCTGCACCCCCCCCCCTCCCCAAAAAAAAATATTTTTTAATATGTTTTTCAGTTTTAATTTTTTTATTTACCCGTTTAAAGGTTCAAAATTTTACAAGTTCCAAAGTTATGAGTTCGGAGGTTTATGTGTTTGGAAGTTTACGGGTTTAGAAATTATAAAGTTTACGGGTTAGAAATTCCGCAGTTTCGAAAGTTTATGAAAAATGTGGGTTCGGAAGGTTGTTGGTTTGAAAGTTTATGGCTTCATGTTTATTATATCCAAATTGTTTATGAATACTCTTGAGAAGTCATTTTCCTTAATTTGTGTACCAAACACCGGAAAATGAATAAGATTACTCTTGGAAAACATTTTCGCAAGAAAATATTTTCTTGGAAAACATTTTCCGTTATACCAAACACACCCTAAGTTTCATATGAAATAAAATGATGAAAGAACTCAAAGGAGTCTGACCTGAATTACTAAAGCCATGACACTGATTAAAAAGATAATCTTATGTAGGCTTTGTATGGGTCCAAATTTGGACGACCACAACCATCGACAAATACGACAGAAGATGAGGTCTTCATAGCTAGACGCCCTGCGAAGGACGGCTGACAGCGAACAAAGAACGGATGACTTTTGCAGCAGTGTAGGCCCCATAGGAGGCATTAGGAATATACTCGCGAATATTCCCTATGGTACGTTTCGAGAGTTCAGAAGGGGGTTGTCCCTTATATATAGTGGGAAAAACATCTTGTAAAGGGACTTTTTTCTCTTTCAGCTAAGGATTCTAGTTGTAACACCCTTTCGATATTAAAGATTGGCATTCTCAATGTGTGATCACTGACCTTCATAAGGTCAATAAATATTTCCCATTGTGTTCATCGTTTATACCTTTTGTTCTAGAGTTCATTATACTCATATAAGATTTACCCCTTCATTCTCTTTGATTGATTTGTTCAAAAAGGTTCCAATATCTTTTGAATCAAAAAATTTGGCGTCGTCTGTGGGGATTTATTTAGCTGAGATTTTAGTTTCGTCTAGATCCTTAAAATGGATAATCACCTCTTCTTGGCGCAAAGACCAACAATGGCAGGAAAGGGGGAAGCAAGATTAAAAGCAATAGTAGGCATCATGAGCAACCTTCTGGATTCTATCAACGAAGCCGGCCGGGAAGACAACGAAAATACAACGCCAAGCACTACACATGAGGGAGATACCTCACCCCCCCTTCCCCCCCCCTCCCCCCCGCACGAAAGCGTGACTGTTTCGCACGAGAGGGGAACCTCAACATCCGCAGCAGGAGAAGCACCACCGGCTGTGAAAAGGCTATTAGAAGAGTGGTTAACAAACACCTTGAGCAGCATACTCGACAAACCTGTTCAAAGGGATATCGGAGGCACAACACACGTTGACAACACAACTGTCGGCGATGAGCCAGAAACTCCACGCGCAGGTAACACTCACACTGTCATTGATATAGGTAACGATACACTTGCAGCCATCTTAAAGAAAATGGAAGAAATGGAAAATGAGAACAAAACGCTCCATGATCAGATGAAGGAGCATCAAGAAAGGGTCGATAAAATACCGGGCGCTCCCAAAGTTGCTACCAAAATGAGATGTTGGCTGATTCGTCGAGCAACCATACACTGAAGGAGCATCCCCCATGCTATTCCAAAAACCTTCAAAATGCCGCCATACTTGAAAATATACGATGGCACCACACACCCAGAAGACCACATATTCCACTACGTCACAACAGTAAAAGGCAACGATCTGTCGAAAGAGCAGGTGTCATCGGTGCTGCTGAAAAAGTTCGGCGAAACCCTGACATGGTATTCCCAACTACCAGCACGGTCGATATCGACGTTCGAAGAGATGGCAAATAAATTCGTCACCACTCACGCGGGAGCGAAAAAGGCAGAAGCTAGGGTAAACGACATCTTCGCCGTTAGGCAAACGACAAGCGAATGACTTCGGGATTTGTTAGCCCGATTCAAAAGGGTAAGGATGAGCCTACCTAACGTATCAGAGGGATGGCGGTAGCAGCCTTCCAAAATGGGTTAAATAGAAACGGGTCGAAAGCAACAAAAAAACTGCTAAGTAGGCTCATGAAATACCCTCCCACCACGTGGGAAGAAATCCATAATGCCTATTGTGCCGAAGTAAGGGCAGATGAGGACAACTTGAATGGTCCGATCCAACGGCTAACCTCAGTACAAACCGAAATAAGGCGAGATCGCCGCATAGATTGTCGAAGGGACCAACTATCCCGTTTCAGTCGAGAAAGGCATCAGCCCTACATCTGGACATCCATCCCACCTCCTCCACGGCATGCAGACGTTACGCCCCGACATACCATGCCACACCGAAACGAGAGAGGTATGCCCCCACTATTGTCTGCTCATAATTTTTGCGATTCTCCTTCAGAAATAGTGTATGCACTAGAAAAGCTCGGCACAAAGGTGCAGTGCCGCAAAAGATGAAGTCGGATCCAAGCACCTAGAGATCGAAAAATCTGTGCGAATTCCATCAGGAAAGAGGGCATAAGACCGAAGACTGCATAGGCTTGCGATAAGAAGTGGTAAGAATGCTAAACCAGGGACACCTGAAAGAACTGCTGAGCGATCGCGGATGGGTTAACTTCGCTCGTGGGCGCGAACAACCTGAAGGACCCTCAAAACCACTTTCACCAGCTCGTGTCATGCAAATGATCATTGGCGGCGGCGATGATACGGTAATAAACCATGTGAAATTGACCACTACACACAAACTCAAGCGGACAGTCGCCCACGAACGGTATGATGACCTCGAAGATAGTATCATCTTCAATAAGTCAGATACCCACGGTTTGTCTTTCCCTCACTATGATTCTTTGGTTATAACTTTACGTATTGCGAATACCGATGTAAAAAGAATAATGGTGGATGACGGAAGCGGCACGTGTATTATTCACCCACGAGTCCTCATGCAGATGAGACTCGAGGATAAGATAGTACCGCGCTGCATAACACTAGCGGGTTTTAATAATGCAGTGGAACGAACCTCTGGAGAGATAGTGCTGCCCATTCTGTCTGGAGGAGTCACTCTGGAAATGACTTTTCACGTCATGAACCAGGAAACAACCTACAACGCTATCATAGGGCGTCCATGGATACACGCCATGCGAGTCGTCCTTTCAAGTTTCTATCAAGTAATCAAATTTCCTACCCCATATTCAGCATCCGGGGTGAGCAACGCACCACCCAAGAATGCTACCGAATCGCCCAAGATTGCAAACACACCCAACAACTAACGGGAGCAAGTGCGGAAGCATAGCAATCAGCCATGTCGGGAACCAAGCCCGACATACAAATAGAGGCCATCAAAGGGCCAGATATCGTAGAAGCCTGCAAGGCAACTGTGAAAAACCTCGACCCCGTTCAATTGGACAGCACGAAAAAAGCTTATATCGGCCATAACCTCTCAGAACCAGGTAAGTTCCATGAGTTCTTAACTAACAATGTCGATTTGTTTGCCTTCTCCTATTCAGATATGCCGAGAATCCCAAGGGACATCGCCATGCATCGGCTGAATGTCGACCCTCTTTACCCGCCGGTGCGGCAAATGAGGAGAAAGTTCAATGCCACAATCAATGATGCAGTCAGCGAAGAAGTCGATAAGCTGCTCGCTTATGGTTCAGTCCGAGAGTCAAAGTACCCTCAGTGGATCGCCAATGTGGTCATGGTAAAAAAGAAGAACAGAAAATGGCGGATGTGTGTCGACTTCACCGACCTGAACAAAGCATGCCCAAAAGATTCCTTTCCGTTACCACACATCGACCAGCTCATCGACGCAATAGCGGGGCACGAACTATTAAGCTTCCTAGACGCCTATTCTGGTTACAACCAAATCCTAATGGCAGAAGAAGATCAACAAAAGACCACCTTTATCACTCACCATGGAACGTACTGCTATAGAGTTATGCCGTTCGGACTCAAGAATGCAGGGGCGGTGTACGAAAGATTAGTCACCAAAATGTTCAAAGAACAACTCGGAAAGACTATGGAGGTCTACATCGACGACATGTTAGTAAAGTCAAAACGGAAGGAGGATCACATTGGTCATCTGAAGGAAGCCTTCGAAATATTAAGGAAATACGGAATGAAATTAAGCCCCGAAAAATGCGCCTTTGGCGTAGCCTCGGGTAAATTCCTCGATTTTTTGGTGTCTCAAAGGGGTATCGTGGTCAATCCGGACCAGATCAAGGCCATCAAAGGAATACCGGAGACATTAACCAGCAAAAAGCAGGTACAGAAGTTGACAGGATGAATTGCCGCCCCGTCGAGGTTCGTCTCACGGTCATCAGACATGTGTCATAAATTTTTCAATGTACTAAGGAAGGATCACGGACTACAGTGGAACTCGAAATGCGTCGACGCCTTAAAGAAACTGAAAGCGTATTTGTCCTCGCTGCTACTACTTGTCAAGGCAGACCCAAGCGAATGCCTCCTGGTGTATCTAGCAGTTTCCGAAGTCGTGGTAAGTGCAGTTCTGGTCCGCGAAAGCAAAGGTACGCAGTCTCCAATTTATTATGTCAGCAAAACCTTAATTGATGCCGAAACAAGGTACCCCCACCTTGAGAAATTAGCTCTAGCGTTAGTCGTAGCTTCACGAAAGCTTAGAACATATTTCAATGTCACTCCATAAAGGTGGTGACGACCTTCCCCCTTAGGGACATCCTTCACAAACCCGAACCATCAGGTAGGTTGGCCAAATGGGCCATAGAATTAAGCGAGCACGATATAACATATCAACCGCGAACTGCTATAATGTCGCAAGTGCTCGCTGACTTTGTCGCCGATTTCAGCGCGGAAATATTGCCTGAAGTAGAGCAGGAGGCGCTCCATGCATCCATACCTTCCAACCTCTAGGTCCTCTATACCGACGGTGCATCTAATGCGTCAGGATAGGGACTGGGACTTGTCCTCGAAGTCCCTACGGGCGAAGTGATTCGCCAATCCATACGATGCCCCGAAATGACTAACAACGAGGCTGAGGATGAAGTTGTGATTGCAGGATTGAAATTAGCCCTCAAATATGGCGCTCGACGACTCGTCCTACATTGTGACTCCCCACTCGTGGTGAATCAAGTCACTGGGACTTTCAAAATCAAAGAACAGAGACTACAAAAGTACCAGTCAGAAATTCACAAACTGCTACCAGAATTCGACGAATGCCGCCTCGACCAGATACCCAGGGCGCAGAATGTCGAAGCAGATGGCCTCGCCAAGCTAGCGGCCTCCACCAAAAATATCAACAAAGAAAACATGGTCACCCTCCTCCATTCCTCGATAGACCAAGTCGAGGTACATTCTATACACCTAACTTGGGACTGGCGCAACCGTATCGTAACTTATTTACAGGAAGGAACGCTCCCACAAGATAAGAAAGAAGCCAAAAAGCTCCGAATATAGGCGGCCAGGTACAGTCTCGTAAATGATAATCTTTACAAAAGGACGTTCGGCGGCCCCCTCACCAAATGCCTCGGGCCAAATCAAACAAGGCGGGTACTAGAAGAAGTACACGAGGGGCATTGCGGCGCTCATACAGGAAATCGTGTCCTCGTCAGATGCCTCATCCGCGCAGGATACTACTGGCCCACCATGAAAAAAGAAGCCGCAGATTACGTCAGGAAATATGAGCAGTGTTAAAAATATGCACCTATGATACACCAAGCAGGAGAACTACTGCACTCCGTCACTTTGCCGTGGACATTCATAAAGTGGGGGATGGATATTGTCGGACCCCTTCCAGCAAGGCGAGGTAAGGTACGCTTCCTTTTGGTTTTAACTGACTATTTTTCTAAGTGGGTGGAAGCAGGTGCATACACTCAAATACGTGAGCAAGAATTTATCGCGTTCAAATGGAAAAATATAATATGCCGCTTCGGCATTCCCAAAGAAATCAGTTGTGACAACGGACCTCAGTTCGTCGGAAAGAAAATAATCGAGTTCTTTGAAAAATGGCACATCAAGCGAATACTCTCCACACCATACCATCCCACCGCCAACGGTAAAAGCCGAATCCTCCAATAAAACGATATTGAATATATTGAAAAAGAAGCTCGAGGACGCCAAAGGGCTATGACCTGAACTACTGCCAGAAGTACTATAGGCATACCGCACCATGCCAAAAACTAGCACAGGCGAGATGCCATACTCATTAGTCTACGGGACTGATGCTGTTATACCCGTCAAAGTCGGAGAACCTAGCTTGAGATACTCCAACGAGAGCGGACCAAGTAACGACGAAAGTAGGTTACAAGACCTGGATGAAGCCGAAGAGCGAAGAGACATGGCTCACGTAAGAATGGTAGCCAAAAACAACAAGCAGAAAGGTACTATAACAAGAAGGCCAAAATACGACCACTCAAGGTCGGAGACTATGTTCTCAAAGCTAAAACACAAGCAGCAAAAGACCCTAATGAGGGAAAACTAGGAACAAACTCGGACGGGCCATACTAAATCACAGCGGCAGCTCAAATAAAAAGGTGACTTGGAACACCCAAAAAATCAATTTCAAGTGGCGACTCTATAAACAAAATAATCCCTATTCAAGTTTGTCACTTTAATTGGAAAAACTCTTTAACCCACCCACAATCCATAACACACATATCTTTCGGGGGTAGAAAAAGGGGTGTGACAGAGATCATGTCAACGGGCGGGGTGATGAACAACACTTCGAACTTCGAGATGTCTCCTTTGCCGCCTCATTAAAAACCTCACCGAGAAAACCCGATTGGGACAAAACCCGGGTGAGGGAAAAAGAGTACGACTTAGGAGGCGCCTCTTTTCAAAAGTGGAAGTATTTGAGATGGGCGACATTCCAATTGTTTTGGAGTAGTTTTCCTTCCATTGTCTCTAACTGGAACGCTCCTTTGTTCGAATCCCTAGTCAAAGGAAGGTTTGACTATATTATTATCGGTCCGTGAAAACAAAATTCAGGTAAGGAATTCTGTTGACCGGGGAGAAAGTGTAAGGCATTCCCCGAGTCCCGCGGTTCTAGCACGATCGCTTTTATTGACTATTGAATTGATTTTTGGATAAACTGTGCTTTATTTAATTTTTATGTTTTACCTATCCGCTTTTATTTCTTGATTATTAGATTTATTAAAAAAATGATTTTTTTGGATAAATTATGTTGTCATAATCACGCTACGCGAGCGAATGCGTGATAGAGACAAAATTTATTAATTTTATCATAACAGCGCTAGCAAGAGAATCCGCAGTTATGACAAGGATTATTAGTGCGTTGTTACTTTTGAAAAAAAAATGTTACTACACTTGAAGAAATTAATTTTGGAATTTATTAAAATAAACATCACGCTACGCAAGCGATTCCGTGAAGTTAAAACGTGCCTACTATTTGCCTAGCGTTTAAACTAATTAATTAAGAAAAGAGATTAAATTATTTAATTAATTATTCAAGAGGGAAGGATATACTACTATTGAATTTTATTTAACTAACCTATAGCTTGAACTTGCTAGGCTTATGCTTATTGGAATTGCATGACATTAGGCCACTTATTTGTTTGTAAAAAAAAAGGGTTAGTTTATTGATTAAGAAAAGAACTCAACTTATGGATACTTGTATCAATGAGCCAAATCAGTATGTTATTGATGTTGTGTGTGTGTGTGTCTATATATATATATACATATGTATGAATCCTTGAAGCCTATTAGCAGTTAAATCCCATATCTATTTTTAAGTCCCTCAAAACAAACTTTATTTCAACCTAATTACCATGAAACAAACCAAATTTAATGCTAATGCCAATTCACCTCGATAAATGATGTAACCAAAATATGATAAAAGCTCACTGAATTATAACACTAATAAACGAAATAAAGATTCGAGCAAAATTCAACAAGGATATTTTTATAAACTAAGGAAATTAGATTCACATCTACAACATGCTCACCTAAAGTAGATTAAGTACTTTAAAGTACAGCAAGGTGAGAAATTGACTTTCAACAACTAGATAACAATAAGTAGAGAATTATCTTCTAAAAGCAATAACTACTTCATATTTACATGTATTCATACATAGGTACAACATTTATTCTTAAGCAAAGATCAGGTACAACATGCTTCGGCCATCCGGACAAGTTCAGATCTTCTTATTACTATAAAAAATCTGCAATACAAAGATGTAGGAATTACCTGGTTCGCAGAATAAAAATACAGCAGTGAAATGAGCAGAAACAGCAACAAAATAGCTTAAAAACAGCAATGAAAATGAGCAAAAACAGCAGCAAATTCGTATCCAAACAGCCCCAAAAAACTTAGAGAAGAAGCGCAGAATCAACTCTAAAAGACTTACTCCTTTTGAAAGAGTTTTCACTTTAAGAAGCACTCATAAAGATCACAATTTCAGCTTACTTTCTTAAGTTCAGCTCTGATTTTTACTCCTAAAATTATGTTTTTGTAGTGTGTAAAAATGTCTAGCAGAAGTGTGTTAGAGCCCCCCTTTAAAAATGAGGAAAGGGCAGCCCTTAAGTAGGCAAAGAAAACCACTTTTTGGGCAGATTTTGGTTCACCAAAAATCTGTCCAAAAGGACTGACTTTTTGTGCTAAACACTGTTCAAAGACTGTCCAAAAGGAGAAAGGACAGCCTAAAAATCTGCTATAGCAGAAGCAAGGAGAAAAAAATGTCATTTCACCCACCCTACTAGTCAAAAGTAAGCTACTAGTACCCTAAGTCATGATCAAACCCATAAAAACTTCAGGTTTTATCAACATCAGTACTACCCTATTAATTTAAACTAAAACAAACTCACACAACTAACAATTGATTAACTAAGTAAACCAATATACTAAAGATCCCGTATAATCATAATAATCTAACAAATAACTATCTAAATAGAGATAACTATTTAAATAAACCTAACTTGAAACTCTAATTAACAAGAAACAACCAAAAAAAAAATCAGAAGCTAAAATTAAAATCTGGAACTAACGTATTACAACTAAAAAAAATTAGAAATCAAATAAAGAGATGACGGAATACCTAAGGAGCGTGATTGAAGATGTTCGAGCCACGAGGAGACGTCGGAGATGCCAAAAAGTGGCTGCCCGGCGGCCGAAAAATTAGTGGCCGGAGTTTCATCTTGAGATTGCTATCTATAGATAGGTCTTGAAGAGCTCTTTCCGTTGATGTAAGTATTGTAGGGTGGTGGTGGTCGGAACTACACAAATTTGAGCAAAAAGGTGGCGGCTAGGGTTTCTTAGATCTAAAATGCGTGGATTTTGAGGGGGTTTTGAAGGATTTTGTTTGAAGATATGGAAAGAGGAGGTTGAGAGGAACAAATTGTGAGATTTTGGGGTGGTTTGGGCGATGGGCGGCGGTGGCGCGCGGCGGGGCAATGGCGGCGGCGCAACTAGGATTTAGGTTTGTCAGTTTTTGGTGGAGATTTGGGGAATTTGGGTCATGGATTTGTAATGAGGGGAGTGAGAAGAAGATATGGTGAGATTTTGGGGTTGATTGGGGGTGCTCCGCCGGTGGGGGCGATTTCCGGGCGTCGGAGATGGGCGGCGGGCGGCGGTTCTCTAAGAAGGGAGGAGAGAATGAGAAGAGAGAGGAAGAAGAAAAGAATTATGGGGAAAATGGGGCAAACTTTCAGCATTTCTAAGTCTTAAATACCTAGTTGGGAGATTGATTGTGGACCATTGGATGAGGGAGAGATGAATGGATGAGAATTAATCTTGATTCACTTAATGAAACGACGTAGTTTTTTTTTAGGCAAAACTACGTAGTTTCGGACCCTTTCAATGGCAGCCCCCTTATCTTGCACTCTTGGCCACTTTTTCTTTCAAATTTGGCCAAATTTCTTCCTTAACCTACTTATTAAACTAAATTTACATAAATAAATAAATTAAATAACTTATTCAAATGATCAATTAACTAGATTGATTCACCAATTGAAAAGTTAGTCGATTCCTAAAATGCACAAATGACGGAAGAACTATTATTTTTTGGTATTTTCATGATAGAAAATATGCAATTAAAGACACAAAATTTGAGAAAAACAATTAAAATAAAAACACTAATAACTTCAGGAGGTGTTAAAATAGTGCAAAAATTAGGTGTTCACAGCTGCCCCTCTCTGCTCGAGAACATGAAGAGTTTTCGTGCAAAGAAAAGTGAATGCCATAGCTAATTTTTGCTCACATATCACTCCAATGGAAGCAATTTTTGAAAAAGGTGACCGAACCTTGCTTCCGAGGTTGCCTACATATCCTTGGCTATAAAGGAATCAGGTTAGTGTAGTTCTGGATAATTTGATAGCTGGGACTACCAGGCCCTGGAGTTAAGACTGTTGTTGTTGTTGTTGTTGTTGTTGTTACTGTTACTTGCTGCTTACATCAAAAGGAAAAGAGAAAGAACTATATATGTCTGCAAACTAAGAGTTACAAAATTCCTAACTATATGTCTT